GCCCCATGCATGGAGCCCTTCAGAACCAGAGAGGAAAGCCTGGGGCGGCTCCCCAAACCCTCAGCCAGCACTGCAAATTGGCAGCAGAAGGGAGTGGATATCTCTGATGTCTAAAAGAGGGAAGTGAATTGGGCCTGGCCGATGGCAAGTTTCGGTTTGAGAGTGGAAAACTCTGAAACTAGGAGCAAAGTGATGCCTCAGCCATCTTGGTCCCATCTTTCCTCAAGTTGGGGGCCCAGGGAAGGAGAACAATAAAGGTTGAAGATGCCAGGTTGGCAGCTGCTGTCCAGGAGGTGAGTTCTCAGGCTGAGAGGAGAGGCTCTCCTCTGAGGTCAGGCTGTGGGGGTGGAGAGATTAAGGTAGAGCATGTTCCAGACGGATCCAGGAGCCTGGGAGGTGGTACTTGAATCTGCATGCTCCTTGGGCTGCCCTCCTGAGCTTCCAGAGCCCAGAGAGGAAGAGGGAAAGAGGCGAGGAGGGGACTGAGCAGGGCCAGGGAACCCCAGGATCAGCCACTGTTCTTTCCCTCCCCACTATATCACCCTTTGCAACCCACCAGGAATTTCTTCGGAGAGTGTGGGAGGCTCACCCCATGCAGGCACACTCTCAGGGGAGCCCTCCCATAGGCTCTCCCTGAACCCCAACCCCTTCCTGTAAGTGGCGTCTGCATCTCAAACATCCCTTTCTTTCCTGGGTAGTTCAAGTCCTATGTCCTCTGGCCCCGCAAATCTCCTCTTCCACCCTGTATCCCAGATCCTGGACAGGAGAGGGCCCCCCAAACTTTATGCCTGCCCACCAAGGCCCCAAGTCAGGGCCAGAATCCAGCCCCCATGGTGGTGAGGCTCTTTGTTCTCCTGCAGCCTCAACACACCCCCCTCCCTTTTTTAAACTGGAATTTCCCCCATAAAAAAAGGAGGCTGGAGCTTCAGAGCTTCAAGCTCTTTTTTTTCTGGACAACAAGGGGTAAAGGGGGGGGGGGTGGGGATCCACGAATGCTTAATTTCCAGAAAAGGCAATCTGGGCATCAAATAAGGGCAATCACATTTCTGTCATCCTTGTCCCTAGTCTGGCATTGAAGCTACCCCCAGCCCTCAAGTGTGTGCATCAGGCTCTCACCCTCCTGCTGCCAAAGGTGCTACCTTACACCTCTGACTCGGTCTTTAACACAGTGGGCCGGGAATTCCATCCCTCAACTTCAGATGGACACAGACATCTGCCTCTTCGTTTTCCTGGGGGATGTCTAAGGAGAGAGCAGAATGAGCATGTAAAGTAAATGTATACACACGGAGAGAAATAGGCCAGTAGACATCTTTATTTGCATATAAAGGATTTACGCGGAGGGCTGGGTATCTTCATGAACACGTTTGTGTTGAGTCCACCAAGGCATCTGCTGGAACAGTGCATGGAACCTGCACACAGTCCCAAATCCACAGGTTAGGCATGCATACGTACACCACACACACACACACATACACTCACACTTTCAGTGAGAAGGCACACTGAAAATCTCCTTTATATGTTGGAGCCTTTGAAAAGCAGGATTTCACAGTTGAACTTAGCCTGGAACTCAGTCCGTAGAGGAAGCTGAAGGCAGAGTGGCTCTGGGAGTCTCGCCATTACAACCGTCCCTTTGAAAACAGAGTCCCAAGCGGAGCCCTGGCTTCCGACCGGGCTGAGGGGCCATTTTCCATTTTCCTTTGGTATAATGAAGTGCTCCGTCTTTTTCCCCACATCAGCGGCACAGCTAGAGACCGAGGAGCCATAGTCCTTTTCATTTCTCTTGATTTTCTCTAAACTTCATCCGTAGTCAAGCCCCATCGCCGCATCAGCGAAGCCCGGTGGGGCGAGGTGTGGCCGTGTGGCGGGGAGGGAGCACGAAGCCGAGGGTTTCAGCGCCTGGTTTTCTGGGGCGGCATCACCTCGGAGATGTAATTACCACGTTTCTGGTGGCGCGTATTCTCCTGGAGTGTTTAATTTGGTTTTATTTGTGTCTCAGTGAGAACCACATTTTTTTCGGGGGAGGAGGGAGAAGCGACCCCAGGCTTAAAGTTAATTAACCGACAAGGCTTTACTTTCCGCCTCCTGCCCGCAGGCTCTTGCTTGGCCGCCTCCCTCCCTGCTCCGGGCGCGCCCCAGTCGGAAAGCCAGCAGTTTCAGGCGAGGCAGGTCTTGGGGAAGCCAGCGAAAGAGTGGGGAATCGTCAGAGGATGTCCAGCCGCTTTTAACGCCCTTAGCCCTGAACTTTCCCCTCCAGCCTTCTCACTTCTGGAGTCTCTTAGGGGGGCCTACATCTTCTTCGGCTGGTCTTGACGAAGGGGACTTTGGTTTCCTCTCGTCGCTAAATTTTGGCTGCAGAATGCCCCCAGTAAACAGAATTGTAAAATTGCCTGGTTAATTAAATCTATATCTCATTGCAATAGGAAAAGTTATTGTCCTTATATAAACCTGGAAAAGAACATACTATTAATTTTATTTATTGCTGGGCTGCCTTGCACCCAGATCCTTCCCGACGTTCTGCCCCCTCCTCCCAAAAGCTGGAGGACGTGTCTTTGGGTTCTGGCCCGCGGAAAACGCGTCCGGCGTCGGGCTAGAGTGTTCCCGGACCCGGAAAGGAGCCCCAGGAACGGCGCGGGCGTTTCAGGTCCTTTGTTTTTCCTGCCGGCCCCACGGAACCGGATGCACTCCGCCCGGGGTTCGCCACGCGGACCCCACGTCACAGGAGGGCAAGCTGGGGCCTTCGCGCCGTGTCTACACCTGTGACTGGAAAACGGCAGGCCTCTCCACCCACCTTCCCTCACCAGCCAGGCTACAGGCAGACGTGGGGGCCAAGGTCACACGACCCCAGTCTAGACTGGCCAGGCCGTGTTTACTCTCCTCTTTTTACCTTGACCTTGGACTCCGGAAGCAGGGAAGCCAGTTTCCCAGCCAAGAGCTGGCTGCCAGCAAGACCCCACCTTCCCCTCCGCTCATCTCTCCACCCTCCACCGTTCCCCTCAACACACACTCCAGCTAGCCTGCTTACGTTTCAAACATTTCTGTTGTATTTTGCGTCCTACTGCCAGGCCAACCTGAAGTTTGCTTTACCCCAACTCTGAGGTGACTCTTCCGGATGCAGACAGACCACACGGATAAAGATTATGTTTCTTATCCTAATTTACCGACGCCAGGGCACTCTCCATCGTCAAACGCCACCTCCCCACTACAGGGAAAAAGTACCGGCTGGTGGACCAGAGCCCAGTACAGACCTGGCCGTTTGCTCTCGGGTTCGAGGGGTCCAGTGGGTCCGGCTTAGTCCGAGGCTACTGCGTGGCCATGGCCTGTGCGCTGCCTGGACAGAAGCACCCAGCATTTAAAATCCGTGACAGAGGCAGGGAAGAGGGACACGCTGCAGCCCCTCGCCCCTCTTCTTTCTCTCTCTTTATTGCCTCTTCTCCTCAGGGAGGCCCTGTGCTGAAAGGGAATTTGGTTCAATTCCGCGGAGATGCGCCCTGGAAAGGGATGATTCTACTGAGGTGCCAAATCCGACATAGGAAGCCCCACAAGTAGGGAGATTGGGAGGGAAGAAGAGCGGGACTTTTTGAAAAAGTTGATGTTAATTTTTTCTTGGAAATATGGGGCAATTTTGAAGCATGAAAATACTCCACACTAAAAGGGACTGACTCCAAGAAAGCCGCGCAAATGAAAACTGGGGTTGTCCTGATAGATACTGCTAGATCCTGCCCCGGCTCTGCCGGCCCCTCGGACCTCATCAGGCTCAGCCCAGGCAGCCAAGGGCGGAGGCGGGCCTCGCCGCCGGGGTGAGGTCGCGCCTGCTGGGATCTCCTAGAGCCGTGCCTGGGACAGGGCTTTCCAAAGGGGCAACGCCACCGGCTCTCCCTCTTTCCACGTTTCCTTTTGTACACGGATCTGAGACCGCGTACTCTTGTTCGCGTCTAGGGCTTTTTATCTTTCCTGGACCGAATCCTCTCCCCCTTTTCTTTGAAAAATCTCGCTGCAAGGCTTATTTCTATTGTATATTGAAGTACCAGCCTACTCTATTGCCCGTATCTCCCTGCTTGTATTCTTCTCCATTTTTCACTGAGCACATCCCCTTCTGTGTGATGGTGTGTTTGTTGGGGCTATCACATCCTCCCAGCTCTCTCTGTTTCGCTGGAGGAAGACCTGCGGGGGCGAGGAGCCCAGAGGGTCCCTCTTAGACAACTGGGGCTTTGGGGAGAGTGAAAAGTCTGAAATGGAAACACAATCCCAGGCATCAAAGTCTCTCTCGCTGCGGGGTGTCGGGTTTTCAGCGGTGAGCTCCAGGAGAGTCTGCCAGGGCCAGAGCCACGCTCCCCACGCTCTGCCGCGCGCTTCCGCCTGCTATCCAGTTTATTTATCAAGACGAAAACGTTTTCTCCCCCACCCTTTGCTGCAAGCCCCAATCCAGTCACAGCGATTGTTTTGGGGTACTGATCTGTCTCCCCCATACACATCCTAAGCCTAGGGGTAGGCGCCCAGGAACTGTCTTGGTCTCTCCAGACCCCTTTGCGTCGGCGAAATTCAGCCACCCCCTCCCCAGTCTCCCCCTGCCCCTCCCCGGGCCCGCCAGGGGGCGTTGCCCTGTCCCTTTAAATCTCCCAGCTCCCTCCTCATTGCCCCTCCTGAGAGCCAATCAGCAGAGACCTCTTCCCTTTCGCCCCGCCCCACCTTGAGGGGTGGCAACCCCCGGAGACCCGGCCTGGGCATCACGTGCGGGCGGGCGGTGTCACGTGGGCGCCAGAGGGGTGCCGTGGGGAGGAGGGCGGGAGCTGGCGGATTTCTTAATGAAGTGTCCCGCATGCGTAGAGGGGAGATGGGGAGGGAGGTGGAGGCATCAGGAGGAGAAGGGGAGGGGAGCGATGAGGAGGGGAGGAGTGAGGAGGGGAGGAGTGAGGAGGGGAGGGAGGAGGGATGGAGAGGGAGGAGGGATGGAGAGGGAGGAGGGATGGAGAGGGAGGAGGGATGGAGAGGGAGGAGGGATGGGGAGGGGAGAAGGGAGCGAGGTGTCTCCTTAGCTCGCTGCCTGTGGCAAGTGGAGTTTTTAAAAAGCTCCAGCAGATCATGTCATGACGACTTCGCTGCTCCTGCATCCGCGCTGGCCGGAGAGCCTTATGTACGTCTATGAGGACAGCGCGGCGGAGAGCGGCAGCGGCGGCGTCGGCGGGGGAGGCGGCGGCGCGGGCGGAGCTGGGGGCGGCTGCAGCGGAGCGAGCCCCGGCAAAGCCCCGAGCATGGACGGGCTGGGCAGCAGCTGCCCGGCCAGCCACTGCCGCGACCTGCTTCCGCACCCCGTGCTGGGCCGCCCGCCGGCTCCCCTGGGCGCCCCTCAAGGCTCCGTCTACACGGACATCCCAACCCCGGAGGCAGCACGCCAGTGCGCCCCGCCGCCGGCTCCCCCCACCTCGTCCAGCGCCACCCTGGGCTATGGCTATCCGTTCGGTGGCAGCTATTACGGCTGCCGCCTGTCGCACAACGTGAACCTGCAGCAAAAGCCTTGCGCCTACCACCCCGGCGATAAGTACCCGGAGCCGTCTGGCGCCCTGCCAGGTGACGACCTGTCTTCCAGGGCCAAGGAGTTCGCCTTCTATCCCAGCTTCGCCAGCTCCTACCAGGCGATGCCCGGCTACCTGGACGTGTCGGTGGTGCCTGGGATCAGCGGGCACCCAGAGCCGCGTCACGACGCGCTCATCCCCGTCGAAGGCTACCAGCACTGGGCTCTCTCCAACGGCTGGGACAGTCAGGTGTACTGCTCCAAGGAGCAGTCGCAGTCCGCCCACCTCTGGAAGTCTCCCTTTCCAGGTAAGGAAGAGACCGAGCGCCGCCGCCGCCGCCGCCGGGGACCCCTCCCCGCCCTGCCTGCCCCGGGGCTCCGCGCCCCAGCCACCCCCGCCGTCTGGCCCCGGCGCGCCGGCTCTGCTGGGCTGCCGATGGAGCCGGCCGGGCGAGCTGCGCTGAGGAATGCGCCGGGGAAGAAATCTGCTCCGACACGTTCCCCGGAGCTGCCGGCCGAAAATGAAGCAATCACAGGCGCCCGAACGCCGGGGGCCGCTGGCTTGGAGCTCGCCTCCTCCTTCCCCAGCGGCTCCAATGTCCCGCGCGGCGCTTGGCCCCCCGAAGCCCGCTTCCGGCCAGGAGTGGGGGTGGGGTGGGCCTCGGGTGCCTTGGAATCCACAACCACCAGGACGAAACCCTCAACCCACAGAATAACTAGAGGGAAAAATAAGAACCCCTAAACATTTTCTTTGCCTGGATTTCCAAAGTTGTTGAGTCACTAAACAGTTTTTTAAAAAAAATAGAGATCTAATTTGGCGGCGTCTACAGAAATGTAGGATGTTTCTTTCCTTGGTTTATTTTAAAAATTCGGCGACAAATTTCCTGATTATTAGAACTAAAGTCTCTCCAGAGGGTGTGGAAGGAAGGGAGTTTGCACCCCTCTCCTGGGATATAAAATTATCTTTGCCTCTGGTATACTGAGCTCAAAGACTAAGGATGTTTCCACTGCCAAATTCCCCAAATGTGTGTGTGTGTGGGGGGGGCAATTATCTGTGCCTGACACAGAAAAAGGGGGGTGAGGGTGAGAGGCAAGGGGAGGAAGACCTGTTCTGGAGGGATCTGGGGTCCAGGCCCAGGCTGGGGACCCCTTGGTGTGATCCGGCTGTGTATGGGGGCGGAATTCACTGATTCCTGCTCCCTCTCCAGTTGAGGCTATCTTTGAACAGGAGGGGACCCTGCAACCTGCCACTCTCCAGGGTGGGGGAAGACCAGCCTCTGGTTTCTCAAAACCCCACCAGAAGCTTTGGATTCATCACTGTGCTGAGAAATCAGGATTCTGGGTCTAGCGAATGTGGAGCTTGAGTCTGCTCTGACTGAAAGCACAGCTCAGTGGGAGAGGGCTGACTGGCTCCCTTCTGTTGCCTACAGGGATCCTGGGGGGCCCAGAGCAGCCATAGATGTCTCCCTATACTGCCCAGAGGTTCCCCAAGCTCTACATGAGGGCCCAAGGACGTGTTCATTGGGAAGTACAGGCCTGAAGACCTCCCAAGGATGGGCCTGAAATTCCTCTGCATCCGGGATTGGGACAAGGGAGGATGGAGAAAAATCACTGAATGATGTTAGAAGGTGTAGCAAATACCATTCTTGTGATTATTCTGAGATTACTTCCTATAACACAACTGAATACCAGGGTGGGATCCACACTAGGCACCCCATTTCTGACTGACGGAAGACTTAAGGATGATAGAATTTTAGTGCTTGGCATCATGCATTACCTATTCTGCTGGCTTTCATATTTTTATATAATATTATTTCTCTTATTAACTAACTAATATGAAACATATAATACTGCATTTCTAGAAGACAGGCAATTCACATGTAGGTATACAATAATGTACTGTAGAGAGATGGCCCTTTGATTGTCGATCTCAGCCAAATGGAAAGCTCCTTAGGAGATGCGGGACCAGCAGGAATTCCGGGAGCAGAGGGAGCCTGATAGGCCATGCCAAGGGGCCGAAGAGCAGGGGGGCAGATGCTCACCAGGCCCACTGTGGGCAAGGGCACAGGTCTAGAGCAATGGGCAACGGGTTTAGTGTGAAAAAAGGAAGACAGGGAGCTACTCTGGCATCGGTGTGTATGCATGTGGAGTAGGTGGGGGGGAGAGATTGGCTAGCGAGAAGCTCAGCAAGATCTTTGAGCAAAATAAACATCTTAAAGATTTCCAGAAAAAAACTAGCTAAAAATAAACACTTTTTGATCATAGCCTCCTAGAGAAAAATACCTTTGAAATAAAAAAAAGTACAGTCCAACAGAGATTTAATACATTTGCAAATTACAGCATGGAAATGGATATAAATCCAGTGTGTCTCAGCAGCTATGTGCTCACACACTCCTGGCATGGAAATAGAATCGGGCTGGTGTATCTCAGTGAGTGCAGAAGTCCAGGCAAAAGGCAGAAGAAAAAGAAATTATCTTCAGACAGCCTTCATCTTTCTACCCACACTGAGATCTTTTAGAAGCAGTGAGATTTCCAGATAACTCTGTCTATGCAATTGTGGTTTGTTCAGCAGCATCTAGGCATAAACACCACTGTCTCTCTTCAGTGCCTCTGGCTCTGAGAAACCTCATCTGTGGTAGTCTGGGCTGGTGTGAGAGATGGAGGCAATTGTTCAGAAAGATCCAGATAATTAGGACCAAGGTGTGCTGTGGCTTCTTCCTTCCCCTAATTATACAGACCCTTGGTTCGTTGCTCTGTTTTGTTTTTTTTTTCTTCCTATGGTGAATGTAGACACATTTTTTTTGACAGAGAGAGGCAGAAATTCCAAGAGAGAATCAGAGAGACCGTAGAGGGGTGTGGAGACAGAGAGAGACAGAGAGAAACAGAGATAGACAGACAGAGACAGATAGGATTGGAGGAAAGAGCAATAGAGAGAAAGAAATAGTAGATTCTTTGGGCCAAACTGGAAGTCCCTAGTAACAAGCCTTTGGATTGTTTTCGAGAAGAGCAACTAGAATTTCTAGCTGGCTGAGGTCCTCTTCAGGGCCCAGCGCCTTGTTGTGGCAGTAGGTGGTCAAGAGCAAGTGGGTAGTAGGAACCTGTACACAGAACCCCAGGAGAAAGCTATGGCGGAGCATTCATCTGACGTGTATCTGCTCCTCAAAGGTGTCTACTAGGTTCCCAGGTATGAAGTGGTTTGTGTGTGTGTGCACACCGGTGTGTGTGTGCATGCGTGGGAGGGAAATTAGGGAAGGGCTGACTGTAAAATTAATAGCCAAGTCCCTTACTTACTTTAAGGGGTATAGACACAACTCATGGTCTATGCTTCCAGATGTTTCCACATCAGTAGATCCCACTTCCTTTCCAGACGAGACAGCAGACAATGAAAGGGATCTTCTTTAAAAAGGCGAGACTAAAGGCATTTCCTCAGGAGGCCGAAGCAACGAACAGTTTGGTCTGATCCATGAAAAACTTGGCCAAATCAATCCGTGGCATCCTATAGAGAAAAATTACCAGTTTAGACCAGTTATCTTTTTTTTAACCAATTTTTTAGGGTTGTGTTGATTAAACCTCATTGGAAATTTAGACTTGGGGTCTAGGGGACACAAACTTGGGTAGATGATTGTGAGCATTTCCAGAAAATGAGGTAAAAATCAGGGACAATTATCTGGTTGATTCAGGAACCAAAACCTAATTTTATCGCATCCCACTCTCCAGGAGAAAGGAGAGATTTTAAAGCTGGATTGTACCAGGTGGCCTATTTCCATTTTAGAACTTACTGTGTCATTATGTTGAGTCAGAAAATCTAGGTTTAAAATGTGGCTGTGTTGCTTAAGTTATTTTACCCATTCTGAGCCTCCGATTCCTCGTCTTGTGAAGTCAGTTTACTAAAATAAGCCTGAAAAAATGTTCTGAGCATTAAAAAAAAAAAAAGTCTCACAGTATCCAAAAAAACCCCTCTCTGTTTCACTCTTGTGCCAGAATCATCAATTTCCCAAATCCTAGTTACATCTTTTTTTTTTTTTAAACAAGATTTTATTTTTCCTTTTTCTCCCAAGGCCCCCCCCCCCGTACATAGCTGTGTATTTTTAGTTGTGAGTCCCTCCAGCTGTGGCATGTGGGACGCCGCCCCAGCGTGGCCTGATGAGCGGTGTCATGTCCGCGTCCAGGATTCGAACTGGTGAAACCCTGGGCTACCGAAGCGGAGCACACGAACTTAACCATTCAGCCATGGGGCCGGCCCCCCTAGTTACATCTTTAAGAATAAAACAAATTCGAGAACTGAAAGATTTTTAAAAAATTATCTTGTACAAACAAATCCTTTTTAACCTAAAGGATCTGCTGTGTTAAAGTGAAGTTGTTTTGTTTTTCAGATTTTTAAAAACCTTGGCCTACTCCTACATAGGCAGAGAAAAGTGACAAATGCAACAATTTTGCCGAGAAATTGTCCTCATGAAGACAGCCAAACCAGGCTTTTGGAATCCTGTCTCTCCCATGTTGCTCCCGAACACATTATTTCCCTCCGCACTTGGTTGTGCCCATGTCTCCCCACCCTGTGTGGGCAAGGGACCCTGGGAGAGAGCAGACTCATGGGGATGGGTGTATGGAAGGTTTTATGATGGTGGCATGAGAACAAGCATTTCAGGACAAGCTTTGTGTCTTCATTCCTCACTGTGTCTACACTTCCAAAGGACAGTAAGCGCGAACAGGAAACCCCAAATATTCAGTCCTCCTCCTTGGCTTCTGCCTGAAAAAGTCGAGCAGTTACATTTAAAAAATTGAGAGGTGAATTATTATTCAGATGATCTTCCCTGTCCCCCACTCCCACTTGAAAGCGTTGCAATGAGCTTTTTATTGACAGAGGTGAGGATGGAGTAGAAAGGGGGACATAAGTGAAATATATTGTTTTTAGTTCCTGTGACATTCTCAGAGTGTAAAGAAATGGAACTAGTGGTGGTGGGGATGACAAGGTATTTTAAGGGTTTAGGATTAGGGTTCCTGCATGGAATGGGGACAGTTTCCTTCAGCCTTGGAGGAATGGAGAGGAGAGGATCCTGGAGCAGAATTTGCTCTGTTTTGGTGAGTGAACATTTGTGGGAGCCAGGGGTGGGTATCGAGTTCTTTTTATAGAAGACTTATGTGTACAGCTGGTTTTAACCCAGGAAGGGCTCTTCTGGTGACTTCTCTCGGCAGACCCTGGGGCACGGACCCTCTACTTCCAGGGACCAATTGTCTGTATCTCAGGGCCAGGACCTCCCATCTTGGATGTAGTTAAGCGGCTCACAACATCGGACTCCTAGAGTGATTGGCTCCCAAGCAGGCTGGCTTCACCTGGACCCTTTTCTTCTTTCTGTTGGTGCATGCCTCAGATTCCTAGTGCAGAGCAGGTCACCAAAGGCACTTGGTGGTCTGCACCCACCAAAGCTGTCTCCTTGCCTGCCATCCCCTCCCTCAAACGTACAAAAGAACAGCTTCCTCTGATAATGGGGACAAAGTAAAGCTGATGGTTGCTCAAATGATCCAGCGGCAGGAAGGAGGGATTTTCCCGAATGCCTGCAATCCTGCAGGCCCACAGACCAGAGTGAAATTTGGAGGGACCCTTCTAAGGGTACAAGAATTCTAATAAGGAGTGCTGGGCAGAGCCGTATGGGAGCCTGTGCAAAAGGAAAAATCAGTAATACTGGTCCCATCGTTCATCTTTATTTATGTTTTTGATATTTTGTTCATCGTGGCTTTTTTGCACTCATTTTGATTTTTTTTAAGTTGCATTAAAATATTATTTATCTTAATTCCTGAGTTTTGGCGCCCCCTCCTTCAAAGTCTGCGCCAGAGGCAATACACCATGGCCTCACCTTAGCCGTGGCCTCGTTAATAACAGAGGTGCAAGGGACTTGGGGCCTATCCGCCCCGCCGCCTTTGAGACTCTGCCGGAACCTGGCGCCTCCGCAGCAGCCGCGTAGCCTCGGGCCCGCCAGCCCAGTCCAGGGTCCAGCCACTCGACTCACTTGCTCCCGTCTTGCCTTTTCTCTTCCCCTAGACGTGGTTCCCCTCCAGCCCGAGGTGAGCAGCTACCGGCGCGGGCGCAAGAAACGCGTGCCCTACACCAAGGTGCAGCTGAAGGAGCTAGAGAAGGAGTACGCGGCCAGCAAGTTCATCACCAAAGAGAAGCGCCGGCGCATCTCGGCCACCACGAACCTCTCGGAGCGCCAGGTCACCATCTGGTTCCAGAACCGGCGGGTCAAAGAGAAGAAGGTGGTCAGCAAATCGAAAGCTCCCCATCTCCACTCCACCTGACCGCTTACTCGGCCACCCGCCCCGTCTATTTATGTTGCCGCTTTGTACCATAACCGAACCCACTGAAGGACGCTTCGCCGGTGCAGACGAATATTTAAAGTTAACAAGAGAAAGGAACCGCGCAGCCGCCGGGAGGCAGAGAGGATCCGAGAGCGCGCTCTGCCTCCCCTACTCCCCACCGCATCTTCACTCCCGCTCCCATGCAGATGGGACCTACCCGGCCTCAAGGACTTTGGAAATGCGTCCGGGTGGGCTGCGCGGGAGGAAGGCTGCCGGCCTCCACTCCCCCTCGCCGTCACCCCTCACCTTGCCAGGAAGCCGAGTGGCAACGAAGAGCCCAGTCATTCCGACAGAAGCAGGGTTGGGGAACCCCAGATGACCCCATACTTGCCTCTTCCTTTGCCCAGGCAGGTTGACGACCCTCCTGAGGGTGCGGCCTCAGCGCAGGACCTGGCTAGCTCAGACTTTCCTTCCAGTTCCTCCTCCTGTTCCCTTTCCCTCCCGCACTCCTTTGTTAGGCAAAATTTCCCAGTTAAGATTTTCTGTGCATATTTTAAAAGTCGCATTAATATTAATGATAATTATTAGGGATCTGGCATCTTGACTGGAGTACAGACAGCGCAAAGGTCTTCTTTTTTTCCTATCTGTTTCAACAAAAGCTGGAATTGGCCCAGGAGCCATCTACCCCCCACCACTTAACGAAGAAACTAAATTTCTTGGGAGCCGTCTTTGCCCCCACTGCCTCCTCTGTCCTGCTCTCTAAGTCAACATGTGGAAATCCAAGGAGGATGCAAACTCCAACCCAACGCCTCTCCTAAATATGTCCTCTCTCTCTCTCTCTCTCAATCCCTCTGCCCCCCCCCCCCCAGTCTGTCTGTCTGTCTGTCTGTCTCTGTTTCTGTCTCTCTCTCTCTCTCTGTCTGCGGTAAGGTTGGAGATCAGGCCAGGTACAGAAGCAGAACTTTTTTCTAAGAAGACAAACTTCTCTTCAACGGGATGGAGAGTGGGACACCCCCAGAGTCCCTCTCCAGGCGCTTCTCCGTGGCGGCAATAGTGAAGGAGAGAGACCTCAAGCTCTCGCTTTTAGCTTTTACTGAATGTCCAGAGGAAAGCAGTTTTCCTCCAGGAGGCCAACAGAACCGCCCCCAATTAGCCAGCTCATGTAGGTGCTGCCTACCACTTCCTCCGAGGCCCACTTGGTGCTGGGGCAGGTGGGCTCACCTTCTCCCCTCTCACAGGCGCATTACAAAACAGTGTTCTTTTGAAATGTTCATCAGAAATAGGCTTTTTAAAAATGTTGTGTATCTGTATATAGTATTGTGATGTCTGAATGACAATGTACTGAATGCAAAAAGAAAAAAATCTCATAAATCTGTTTTTAAAATAAAGTCTTTTTTTTTTTTTTTGCCTTGATTTTCTTGTTCAGTTTCCTTCTGAAATCCCTTCTGCCCTCTGGCTCTTCAGGGCAGTCTGACGCCCTGATTCAGCCAGAATAGCCTGGTTGAAAAGTATAAATAACGCCCCCAGCTGGGTAGACCCCAAACTAATATTTTGCTCCACTTAAGTTTTTTAAAGTGTTGTTTGGGTTGTTGATACTATCTAGACAAGAGAAAACTCCTTCCCATCCTGATGCCCAAAATAGATGAGTGTATGTTGGGGAGAGAAGGATGTAATCAGTGACTGGAAAGGCCTAGGAGCAGGTGAGTGAGAAAAATACATTGCTGTTCCCTTCAGTTAATATTTGGGGCTCAGATCTGGATCTGAGTGCTCAGAAGGCAGCATCCCGCCTGGGAGCTGGATGTGGTGGTGATATGGTGGTGTGGTGGTGGCAGTGGTGGTGGCGGCAGCAGCAGTGGGGAACTAACCTTAGGCTCCTGGGGCCCTACTGCCCCCAGAGGGTCCCAAGTCCCTCCAGCCAGTTCAGGGCTGGGCCCAGGGAGGGGTCCGCACAGGCTCCCATGCTGGGGAGCAGCTGCAAGCTTAGCATCCCAGGCTGTACTCTTTTCTTCTCCATCAACCTACACAGAGAAATTGGGCTGCTGGGGACCGTTGGCCCCAGTTCATGAAGCCAATCCCACTTTCATTCTCCAGCATTCCCAGGAACCCATCTTCCAGGCAAGCAAGAGCCATGTAGACTCTGCTCCTGATTTGTTTTCTCATCGCTTCTGTCTGTGCCTATCTCCCTATCTGGCGGAGTTAATGAGATCGTTAAGTTGTCAGGTTAAGAGACTTTTAAAAAGCAATATAGTCTAAAACAATGTTATCTCCGATAAAATCTTTACTGCAGCAATTTTTATTTATATATAATATTTTTCCTCTCCTGAGACACAGAAAGACTGGAGGCACTAGGTTGGAAATCAGAGCTCTCCAATCTCTCTTTGCCCGATGGCTGAAGTTCTGAAAGTTTTATTTAAATAAATGTTTCTGGGAGTGAAACACACACACACAGACACACACACACACACACACACACACACACACACACACAGAGTCTGAGAGACAAAGAGCCCGCAGAGTTCACCCTCTGTGGAGGCTCTGCTGAGGTGGCTGCCGTCCTGTTCTGCTCCATTTCAGTTCTGGGTTAACTACCAAAGAGTCACACGGTGGGCAGTGGGATTTAGGAGGGAATAGGTGAATCTCTCAGGAATAAGGCTCATTCTTAATCCCCATCTCCCCTTTCTCTCCCCACCCACCACCCTAACCTCTCTCCACAACTCGAGTCTTTCCTGAGATGGAAAGAGTTGAAGATGAAACGCGTATTTGGCCAGAAAAAGGAACTGGGTAGAAAAGAGGCCTGGGGATCCCTGGATATGGACCCCCACCCCTCCTGACCTGAGGGTGCATTGGGTAGTCCCATGACATGGCTGTAGACACAGTAGAAGTTGGAGACTCAGTGGGGAAAGAGAAGTCTCAAGTTCTCCAAGGGATCCGTCCACTTCTGCAGGCAAACCCACACATAACCAAATGAGTGAGTCTTCCCACACGGAGGGACCCATCCTACGGCTCCAGAAGGGGGCGATGGAAAAGAGAAGAAAGCTTGTGCAGGCTTGTTGGGGCTGCACTGGGGCACGAGTAACCCAGGCAAGGACTGTAGTCCCTCTGAGTCCCTGTGAGCCCTGGTGTACCAGGGTGTTTAGGACCCTCTAATGAACTGGATTAAATATGCCTGGAGGGCTTTCATGCCTGGACCGACTTTGGAGATGCCTCTCCCATGAGAGTCAGCAAGCATGAGAATGGAAACCCCCGTGTGGGACAGGGGTTGTGTGAGTGTGTGCTCTGGGGAGACAAAGTTGGGAAAACCTATGATTCTTTCCCTAATTGTGTTGGTCCTTATCTTGTCTTCCTCTAGGAGCTGGCCTTCTCACTGAGGATTCTGTGAGATATTCCTGTGAGGGTGTGTGTGTGGGTATGCACATGCGTGTGTGCATGTGTAGAGTCTTTGACCAGTGGAGAATTTCCAGTCTGTGTGTGTGAAAGTGTTTAAGTAAGAGTGTTGTCAGCCGTCACTCATCTCAGGGGGTAGAGTGTGCTTTTTCTTCTTTATTTATATCTGTAAAAAGCCTGTCTTTCCAAGGCCTGCCTCCCAGTGTTTGTGTGAGAGTGAGGCTGTGGTGGATAGGGGGCTGCAGGGGATAGAAGAGGTCTGAAGGGCTGTGCCCACAGAGGCTTCCCCTGGAAACACCGCCCTTCTCCTCTGGGACTGCCACTCCTGTTATCTCTCATAATGCAGTGGCACTCTCCACTCGCCACACTCCCCCCCAGGCCAGGACTGGGGGACCTGTCTGGGATGGAGCCCCATTACACTCTCCATCTAGAGGTCACTCTACCAGGCTGCCAGGGTGGGCTCAGTTAGATCCTTTCCTGAGCTTGGGGGAAAAACCCTTCCCCACCCATATCTTCGTCCCCAGACCTGGGGCCAAAAGACCTTTCCGCCTTTAGTCTCATGGCCAGGAACCCACCTGAGGGAGCAAGGCCAGCAGTTCTCAGTAGATCCCTCCACGACTGTCTCCACACCATCTGTTCCTGAGGCTGATTCACAGGCGGCTGGGTCAGCGGGCCACTGTGGGTGTAAGACAGGGGCAGCCCCTGGGACATTCTCTGTCTCTCTGAGAATTGGAGCTGGGGACCCTGCTGCAGCCCCCTCTGTTCAAAACAGAACTCCCCACCCTAGGATCCACCTGAGTCCAACTTGGATGGTGTCGGGAGCCCAGCCCTCAAAAAACTCCAAGTGCTGGTTCAGGCACATGTCTATCCAGACCTGCGCTGGTGGAGGATTGAGGGGCCCTGGGGAGCGAGAGGCTTCTGGGAGGAGGAGGGGGCCAGAGCCTTTTCGCAACCAACCAGGCTCTTCCTCTTTTAGCCTTGACCGTGACTAGGTCTTTCTGACCTTGACATCACAGGGAGCACAGGGAATCGGGGAGGGTGGAAAAGGCCTTGATCTTCCGGTGGCCAGAGTAGGGGAGGGCTGCTGGCCCACTTGACGCGCCATCCCCCTTCCCGCCAGAGCCCGCCGCTTCTGTTTACACACAGAGGAGGTGTCGTCTCCAGTCTAGACAGGGGCGCTAATAACGCCCATAAAAGGCGGCCTCTCCAGAGATGCTCTCCAACTCGGCTCCCGCGCGCCTACCGCTGGCTACTCCCTCCGCCTCCTCCGCCCCGCCCTCCTCAGATACCTTCGCTTGGCCTGCGGGCGGCCGTGGGAGGGGGGACCCAGAGGGTTTCTAGAGGCTGAGAACCCCTGCCCCGCATCCTTCTGAACCTCTTCTGCCTCCAAAGGTAAGTGGACCCCCGTTCTCCCAGCCCAGCAAGCCCCGGGGTTAGCAGCATATCCTCCCACCCTAACCAGCCTCCTGGGCGGGTAGCCTCCATTCCAATCGCCGCCGCACCTCCCCCACCCCCCAACTCCCCCGGACTAGGGGCTTGGATTTGGGAAGCAGTTGTGTATCTGGACAAAGCAGACCCAAAGCAGATCTCAGCCCCTCCCCAAAGCTAGGCCTGGCCAGAGGCCATGGTCACAGCCAGCCTCTGGCTGTGGGGCGGAAGCCACCGGAGTAGTCCTCACCCCATACCGAGCATTGAGGTCCTCGGAGACCAAACGCCCCGGCTCCCGGATACTTTGCAGGCGGCTGTGGGTGTGGCCTTTGGTGAAAGTGGTTTGTGTTTTTTTTTGACTTGGCCCCCACACCTTTCCTGACACTAAGTAATTCACTAGGCGGAGGAGATCCTCTGCTGGCAGAAGGGGAAAATGTCAGAACTGCGAAACTATTTAACTATTAGCGCGCCGAAAGCACAGAGAAAAAGGAGGAAGATGGCCCATTTAGGGATGCTCTGGTGAGAAGTGGAGAGGTGGCGTATCAGATATTCCCACTTGGAATTTCCAACCCCTTCCCCATTTCCCGAATGGCAAACAGGCGGGGGTCTTGTGGTGGGAGGGGGCCCATTGGAGCCCCAGAAAGATTGGAGGAGGTAAGGACACTGCTGACCCCAGGCCGCTTGTGTGAGCCTGAAAGCTTGATTGGGCCCGCTCACCCAACGTTCCTCTAACCCCTCGCCTCCAGGCTGCAGATCCCTGGAAGGCAACACCTGGGGAAGTGGTCTCCCAATCTTCTCCTTAAGTCCTGGGCACCCTAGAGAGACCTGGGAGCCAGGAGGGCACTGACTCCTGGAGAAGCTAGTGAAGAGAAGAAAGAGGAGACTGAGCCCCCTGCCTCCACCTCTCAGCCTTGTCTGAACCCGACAAAAACCTGTCCCAAGACTAAAGCGAAATGAGGGGTGGGGGGGCAGGCTTTCCCCATTTGCCACTTTTCATCTCCCCTCCACCGCCAGCCCAGCTCCCACTCACCTCCCTTCAGGGGTCCCGGCCCTGCCTTATTTGCATACACGGCAGAACCTCTTTCTACAAGCTAGACAGTGACCTTGAACCAAGCCACCGCGGCCTCTCCACTGACCAGGGCGAGGGCAGAATCGTGCCGAATAATCCTGACCTCGGGTTAGCCGGGTAAACCGAACCCGCCGCACACAGCCGCGCCGCGGTGACCTAAGCCTCCCGCAGCGGCTTTGCCCCTGCCACCGGAGCCGCGTGGATTTGATAATTAACTCTTTTCTCCTGGCTCGGCGGTGGCGGGGCCTCAAGGCCAAGCGGAGGGGCCGCGGTGATGAGGAAGGGATGGAGGTTCAGTCAGACAAGGAGCGGGAGAGGCGGCCGGGTATCCAGCTGGCGGATGCGCGGAAGCACGAGAGCTGCCCGGTCTTCAAGGAAAGCCTTAACCACATCCTTGCCTTCAATTTTAATTAGCCCCCAAGTTAATGAGCGGGACATGGTTGAGCCAGGCCAGCTGCAGCAGGAGGCCACCTTTTCTAATCTTGTGATTTGACGAAGGTGCTGCAGAGGGGAGTAACAGATGGCTCCGCCGTTCCAGGGCCTGGGTCTGGCCGGTACAGTTTTGCATGCGGGCTGTGAAGCGCCGGCGGGTTAAACCCCCTAGACGCGGCTGCCCAGCACCTTGGGCTGCGAGTCAATCCCGGTCTCCTCACCCAGCCCCAGTAGACTACTGGCGAGCTGAGCAGCTCTGGTCCAGGCTGGATTTAGATTTGAAGCTTTACACCCGAGCCTCCCGCCGGCCCCGGGGACCCAGGCTGGTAGCGGCGCTCGGGGAGAGGGTGGCTGTTTGTCCTGACCCGGGTAACGAAGGAGTTCCTGAGCTGCGTGTGCGGCGGGGTGCCTTAAAGGCAGACAGAACGGCGGTGGTGCGCGGGGAGGCTGGGCACTTAGATTGTCTGGATCCTCGCGGGGGACCTGAAAACCCCAAGGTTCACAGTGGACCTCGAGGAACAGGACGCTGGGGATGCGAATTTTGCTGATGGTTCTAGGCAGCTCTCCCTGAGAGGAATCAGAGTCGGCTGCACGGAAGGAAGAGGGGTTTGTGCTTGTGCGTGTGCCAGTGCCTGCTGCAGGGTACGAAACCTGGGGCAAACGGTCTTTTTTTGATGGGGCCAAAGCGACTGGGAGAAACTGCACGAATGAAAGAAGGAAGCCCTCCTCCATCCTCATTTGCCCGGCGTTGCATCCGCCGCCCTGTGGCCGCTGCTCTGCGTGCTCAGCGGCCTGGCTGCGAGGGCAGCAAGCAGAGCTCTGGGCCTGAGATTTTCGAGCTAGAAAATGATGGGTAGAGACTGAGACCGTCCTCCTGGGGTCCACCTTCTAGGAAATTGGAGTCATCTGGGAGGGAAAAAGAATGGGGAGAAGCCTAAACCCCACAAGAACCAGTGATTACTCGACAAAGCTCAGCTGGCCATCTCTCACACCAACAATAGCGCTGAGGCCTGGAGGCCTGGAGACCTGGCCGCCGGCTCAGTGTTCCGATTGAAAACAGCAACCATATTAACGTCACACCTTGTTTATCCACATGACAAAAATAATCCCGAATAAATTTTTTAAAAATTAAGTTTTCAGTGACGCTCATTAATACATCTTGAAAAGGGGGCAAAAATAAGATGTTGGAGGTGCTGCGACACGGAATTTGCAGCTGAGGGATGCTCCCTTCTGCAGCCGCGCAGCCCTTTAATCAATTAGGCACAAAAAGTCCAATCCAGAAGGTCTCCTGCCTGCTCCTTGGCGCCTGGGCTCTCGCGGTTCCAACTGGAGGTGATTGCGTGGGCCTGGCATCCTACCGCTTGGCCTCGGTTCCAGTTCCAGCAAGTGAGCCCAGTGGGCGCGGGGCGGGCTCCTGGGGCTGGAGGGACAGGCCAGGCAGCCTGGCAGGCCAGGGCGGAGAAGGGGAAGCGGAGCAAGGGGCGGGCGCCGCCGATCTGTGAGCTGTGGCCCCGCGCGGACACATTTCTGTCCGAGCGAGCAGCTGTGGTTTGGGATATGAAATCGCCCCGCGAGCTGTGGAATTAGAAGAATCTACGTTTTTCTCTCTTGCGTCCCGCAGAAGAGAGAGAAAAAGAGAGAGAGGAGAACCTTCTGCTTCGGTCTGCTTTTGTAGCCTCAGCTCATTCTCAGATATTTAACTTTCACCTACATGGGTTTCTTTTTCCCGTATTCTCTCGGACTCTCTCGGTCTCTCTAATTTTCTCTAAATCTTCTGGTGTTTTCTTGTGTTTAGATGTTTGCTAACCTATTTATCTCACCTTGTATTACTTAAAGCCGTGCTTTGGATAGGAGGCCGAAATAATCACATAGAAATCTGAGTATTTTGTCTACTAGGCCCCAATAGAATACATCTAGTTTTGAAGGTTTTTGTTTTGTTTTTCATTTTAATCCGCTTGACTGTGTTCTGTGGACTTGGTTGAGAGAGGATTGTGGTTTCCAGATGTCGATTAATCTCGCCAGTGGGCAGCGTTGGGTTCTTACCCTTCTGTGGAAGGAGCTGTTGAGGTTAGCACCATAAATATAATTTTAAACCCCCAACAAGAGAATTCTCCGGAGTTCTTTCCCTCACTCCCAGCACACCTACTGGCCTCGGCGCTGCTATCTGCTGGTCCCAGCAGCAGGCTGGGCCGGTTCTGGAGCGAGCTCGGTGTCTGCTCCGCTGCAGTGTGAACCAGGAGCCTCTCCCGACAGCCAGGCGAATCTGGGCCTCTCTGCGATGGGCCCAGAGCCTCCTGCTGCAAAAACTTTGGGAGACCCTCAGAAGCCCCTCTGATCCACGGGAGTCAGAGGGAAGAGTAGGGCGAGCCCCCAGCTTTTCAAGAGCCGGAAGGCAACTCCACATCCAGCTGGAAGCCTCCTTTTTCTGCTTTTTCTGCCTGCCCCCTGCATCCCATCTCAAAAGGTGAGTGGAGGTGTGAGGTCGGGGTGGCTACCAACGGGGCGGGGGGAGACCCTGCATTAACAATTCTCCCTGTGTCCTTCCTGGTGGAGAGGACCCCAAATATCTCCCCCAAATTTCTGAGGAGAAAGAGCTGAGGAAGAGGAGGCAATGGCCGCAGGGCTGGAAGGGGTAGAGCAAGGAAACTTGTCCTTACCCCCGCTTCGCCTCTACTGTAAATAAACCCCGAGCCAAAGGGCTCATCCGTCTCCTTAAACAGCCAGTAAACTTTATATGACACAATATCTAATAGTAATTTATTGGGGAGATATTGTAAATTCCAACGGTTTTAGTTAATAAAGGAGCTAATTAAAGAGGGACGAGCTATGCTTGGCCAGCTGTTGGTGAGACGATAATACATCTGGGTGGGGGGTGCAGGGTGCAGAAGTGTGTGTGTGTGGGTATTTTTGGTGTGGCTTTTTTCCTTTTGCCCCGTGTCGGGCGATTGCCTCGTTCTCTGCGCAGGTTTTATATGATTTTTAAAAAAATCAGAATGCAGTGAATAAATCTGCCCCCGCGTTTCGCCCCCCCCCCCAAGATTGGGGAAGGGGGAAGTTGGAGTTAGTGCATGGTGGGGGGATTCGCTGTCCCCACCCATCCCCTTGGCGGCAGCGCCCACGTGAGCTGGACGGCCAATGGGTGGCCGGTGCAGGTTTAACTATGTTTAATGTCAGATAGCAATAAAGTAGAAGCTGCCGGTCGGGCCCCGCGGAAATGGGCGAGCATAATCTCCTGAATCCCGGGTTTGTGGGGCCGCTGGTGAACATCCACACGGGAGACACCTTCTACTTCCCCAACTTCCGTGCGTCCGGGGCGCAGCTGCCCGGGCTGCCTTCGCTGTCCTACCCGCGTCGCGACAACGTGTGCTCGCTGCCCTGGCCGTCGGCGGAGCCGTGCAATGGCTACCCGCAGCCCTATCTCGGCAGCCCAGTGTCGCTCAACCCACCCTTTGGGCGCACGTGCGAGCTGGCGCGTGTGGAGGACAGCAAGGGTTACTACCGTGAGCCCTGCGCCGAGAGCGGCGGCGGGGGTCTGAAGCGTGAGGAGCGGGGGCGAGACCCTGGCGCGGGAGTCGGACCAGGGGCAGCGTTGCTGCCGCTGGAGCCGTCGGGGCCGCCCGCGCTCGGTTTCAAGTACGACTACGCGGCAGGCGGCGGCGGTAGCGACGGTGGCGCGGGACCCCCGCATGACCCGCCCTCGTGCCAGTCGCTGGAATCCGACTCCAGTTCGTCCCTTCTCAACGAAGGCAACAAGGGCGCCGGCGGGGGCGACCCTGGCAGCTTGGTATCGCCTTTGAACCCCGGCGGCGGGCTCTCCGCCAGCGGTAAGGACCCCAGTCCGCTCGTGAGGCGGACTCAGGACGGGACATCTTACCAGCGCGGGGAGTGTAGGACCGAGCTAGGGCCGCCTGGGGTGACAATGTACGTTGAGGAAGCGCTTCTTTTAAAAAGAAGTGCGGGGTGGGGGTAGGGGAGCACTATAAACATGTAAATAATGCCATGAAAGAACTGGAGAGATTCTCATTTTCCACTGCCTGAGGCTGGAGGGGTGGGGAGCACCAGAGAGGGGGGATTCTGACAGAGGCTTCCCCTGGCCTGGGGCGTGGGGGATGAGGACGGAGATCCTGGTCCCTGCTTTCCCAGGGCCTCTCCCTCCGCCTTGCCGCAAGCCCCATTACCTACATTTTTTTCTTTTAAGAATTGCCAGTGGTTAAGGCTTACTCTCACCACTTGCTCATGTCTGTTCTAACTGATCAGGGACCAATCCTGGAGGATGTGAGTGGAAGGGGCCAGGATACCCAGGAGAAGGAGAGGTTTGGGGAGAAGTGAGGAGTAGAAACATAGAAGGGTCAGGGATACTGCATACATAGTGGGAGGTAGGGTTGGGGAGGTAAGGGGAAGGAGTGAAGGGGAAAAAGAGAATGATGCAGGTGGAGGGGTGGGGATGGGGCTCTGGGTAGGAGAGAGGAGGTGGGAGAGGAAGAGCTGGGGTCTGCCTTTAGGCCAAGGTGAAGGGCTGGGGAAGGACCTGGCTGAGGGCAATGGGCTTGTCACCTCTTGGTCCTCTGGCCAACCCTACTGGTTCATCTCCACCCAGGCGCGCCCTGGTACCCGATCCACAGCCGTTCACGGAAGAAGCGCAAGCCCTATTCGAAGTTGCAGCTGGCGGAGCTGGAGGGCGAGTTTCTGGTGAACGAGTTCATCACAAGGCAGCGCCGGAGGGAACTCTCAGACCGCTTGAATCTTAGTGACCAGCAGGTCAAGATCTGGTTTCAGAACCGGAGAATGAAAAAGAAAAGACTTCTGTTGAGGGAGCAAGCTCTCTCCTTCTTTTAGGGGGCAAGACATGGGCGCCAGCCCCAGACTGAGCCTGTCTCTGGCAGAGAGGGAGAGGATGCACTGCCTAGGACACAGTCCCCGCTTAGAACGCCAGGCATCTCTGGCAGGCCCTCCCTGGGCATCTTCTTGTCTGTTTTGTCTGTGGTTCCCTCCCACACACCCCCAGCAGGCCCTGCCAGGTCCCAGAGAGAAGGGAAGAACCCAGCCAGTGAGAGAGGAAGCCAACAGCTGCAGGCAGGGAGTAGGGGCATGGAAGGCTGCAGCGCTGGGAGGGGCTGGTTTGAGACAGGACTAAGGCATTGGGCCTCCAGCTGAGGATCTGGTGGAGAGGTGACCCAGGCACCACCTCCCACCACTTTCCTTCTGTAGTCCTAAGTTTGTCTGCCTGCAGGAGTAGGTGCGGGTGGGGACAATGGAGCCAAGCTCCCAAAACTCGAAGTTGTTAGTGTTAGGAGAGGCTGAGATGGGGGAGCAAGAGTGGAGGATCCAAAGAGAGAGTAGAGGGGGTCAGGGTAGCTCCAGGAGGGCGGGAGGAAGCGTGGTTCCAGAGAACAGAATGATCAGCAGTGCCCAAGTCCGCTGGTGTCTGGGTCCTCTAGGCCTGCACCCAGAGCAGGCTGAGGCATAGACGTTTGGCAGACCCGGCTGCAGACAAGGTGATCATCAGTTTCATGTCCCCTCTAGGGCAAGCAACCCGAATGATCTCCTGGTCCCCAGCCCTCTCCTGAGCCCCCTCCCCTCCCATTCGCTCACAGGTGTGCTGCCATCCACTCTTCCAGCCACCTAGGCGGCTGTGGACCGGAAGCTACAAGCGGGTAATTGAGAGCTGAGCAGACGCAGCCTCAGGTTCAGTAGCCACCCTAGGGACGACCATCTTGCCCTCCGGGAAGCCCAAGAGGCTGTGAAAGGGGCTGCAGAGCGCGGCGTCTATTGACCAGGAGAGTTTCTGTCAGCTGCGACGGCCCGATCCTCCCTTCCCCGCTGGCGTTCACGGTCACGGCCGGCCGGAGGCTGGACCGGCGTAATTTACGAGGCGGGAGGAGAATCCGCCCCTAAAGGGGCTACCGGCGCGGAGGCCTCGCTCAGCCTGGGTTTCCCAGGCTGGTGACAATGAAGGAGGGGGTCGCTGCAGCCCCCTACCCAACTCCTTTCTCTCCTTTACCCACTCCCACTCCACCCGCCCCCCAACGTTGCCCTTTGTCTCAGGATCCTCTGCCTCCGCCTCATCAGGCGGAGAGCCCCTGAGTACAAGGACCAGAGCAGAGGGAGGGAGGGGCACATCCCCAGAACCGGTTGGAGGCCAGATAGTGGCTTCATTCATAGACCTCTTCAGGCCCCAGTCCCAGCCCCAGAGATCCTAGGCTGGCTTAGGAGAGAGAAGAAGTGAAGGAGCCTGCCTCCCTTCCTGTGCTCTGTTTTTATCCTTCTCTGTGAGAGCTCCCCAACCTCCCATCTGCTGACCCACCCTTGCCAGGAACAAGAGGATGAGAAGCAGGGGACTGATGGGAGTTGAGCCCAGCCTGGACAGTGGGAAACTGGCCTGCCAGTTTGAAGTTCTTCCTGCCTGGGGAGTCTCCCCCTAAAACATCCTCAAAAGGCAATCCACAGAGCCCCCCCACTCTCCCACCAGCACAAGGCTTCAAGCCTCTGTACAGGCTTGTGCAGAGGCATGGGCAAACACAGGCACAGCTGAGCCCAGCACACCACTGGGCCCACCCCACTCTCTGGACTGTACTTGCAAGCTGCCAGCCTCATATCTCCAAAAGCAACCTTGGAGAACGGCTGTTCTCCACACACCCCATCCCCCACTGGGCACCTGACTCGTGACACACTTCCTCCCCCGTATAAATTTGCTTCACCTAGGTGAAAGTTCCCGGAGATCACCGCCATTCTGGCTGTCTGCATATTCCCCTGTGGGCAGCCCTAAGTATGAGGCACTCCCCCTTTTGCCTGGTCACCCATGTACCCCTTCATGCAGCCCCTCCTGTGACCTCATGGGCTGGAGGGTGCTGGATTCAAGCTCTATCACTCCAGCTTAACTCCCACAGCATAATAAAGAAGAGAGACCAGAATATTCCAAAAGGGGTGGAGAGACAAAGATATGCAATATTCTATTCCCGTTGCTTTAAACTTGACTTCTGTGAGCTTCTCTGTCAACTTATGTCCTGTCCTCTGTGTCTATAGCTAGTACCTAGTGTAGCCCCTGTAGGTAGATACCCTCCCCCTCCTCCCTCCCCAGCTCTGAATGTGCCCTCCTAGTCAACTGTCTGTCTTTGGCACGTTTTCCCTTTATATAGTCCTTGTACAGAGTTGCTTCATCATATTAATATTAATAATAATAATTAAAACATGACTGTATGATGATGTGATGTTTTTTGAGAAAAAATTTAAAACTGGTTCCCCACACATTGTGTCCTCTGCCCAGAAAGAATGGGATCCCCAGCCTCCTAGCTGCTCCCCACTTTATTTTCTCCAGCTCAAGTGAATAATAAAAATAATACACATATAATAATAAAGGAAGAGCAGTTTCAGGGATGACAAAAATATATGAGCAACCAAGACCTGCTGACAAGCTGCCTTCTCCAGTCCCAAGAAATTACTAGCAAAGAGAAAACTAGGGGACGGTAGATTGGGGGGAAAGAGAGGGAGATCTGAGGAGTCATGGGGCCATAAAAATAATGTGGACAGCCCTGAGGGGGCTGAAACCACCTTCAGGGCCAGAAAAAGGAAGTCTGAGCTGCAGGAACTCCAGGGCACAAGCAGGTTGGAGCCTGGGTGGCGAGAGTGCCCTGGCATTTAGGGCAAGAGTTGGTGGGTCCACACTTCAACTCCATGGTCCTAACCCCATGGCTTCTCTCTGAGAGCACATTTTGTGCACTGCCAGACCCCTTGAAGCTGGGGAAACAGTCTCCATTACTCTCAGCCAGCGAACCCCTCCAGACCATGCCAGAAAGAGGCCAGGTCCAGGCCAGAGTCTAGGTCTCAGCTGCATCCATGAGCCCTCTGCACCTCCACTTCACCGCTTCCTTCTGAGTGGGACACCCTCCCTCTGCCTCCCCCCTTGAGCCTGGGGTCCCTGAGTGTCCCTTTCTCACATCCTGGCCCCAACTGTGGAGTCTTCTCCAAATTCCACCTCCACCCTTCCGAGGCTGCTCTGGAATAGCAGGGACCCCCACTGAGCCCAGCATCCTAGCCAAGCCTCCTGCCCTGAAATCTTTCTTTCTCTCCCTCCCTTCCTTTCCTTACTCCTGCGGCTAGAAAAACTAGCAAATTTAGACCAAATCCCATCCTTCCTTTGCCCCTAATCCCCAGCTGTCTTGTACAGCTGACGGGTTCAGGCAGGAAGGAGATCTCAAGCTTTGTGGGTACTCATACAAAGGCCCCACAGAGTGCAGGCGAGGCTGGGGACCAGACAGCTTCTGGCAGCCATAAGCTGGGGGAGGGACTGGGTGGCTGCACCTGGGTCTGAATAAGGGGGTGGGGGATTGAATCCCAGTGAATCCAGGTCAGAGACTACCCTCTTCTTAAAATACATCTATACAGGGACAGTTAACAGTGAAGGCATTTCTGGTTAAAAAGGCAAGAGAGAATTTCAGGAGATCAGGAATAACTGGCCCTTAATTTATTCCTTTGATTTATTCCCAGAGACACTGCAGATCTGAGAGAGAAGGTACTTTGTTGGGTCCTGTCTATGCAGGACCCAAAACTCAATAACTGGGGAAGTTGTCAGAGAAGAAACTACACTATAACCTCCTCCCATTGGCTGAAAATCAAGTCCTTGGGTCTCCTCCCCAAAGAGAAGGTCATGGTTGGAGCAGCCATCCAAATGCTCAGGGCACAGCCGAACTCTAGATGGGGCAAAGGTTGCATCTATTTTGCAGCTATTTGTGTGGTTTAAGCCCTCAAATTACAGTTTACTCCAGTGACTTTAAGAGAGAGCACTCTGTCTCTAAGTGGGTCTTGAGGAGCAAGAAAAGGGGAGAATTATCTGGATAATTCAGGTAGAAAATATTTCAGCTGTTGTGTGTTTGTAAGCTTATACCATCCAAATGAGTTGTGTATTTGGCCCTATCCTCACCCAGTTCTACTCCATTCTGACCCTTATAGATGCAGCTAGGGTATCTAAAGCCACCATCTGTCGAGCGGGCGGGAGATGGCCCGGCAGCCCAGGTTCTGTGGATGCTAATGCAGCCGGAAACTTGGCGCGATCGATGGTTCAGACCCAGAGCAAAGCAGGGACCGCCGCCCGGATCTGAGAACAAAGCAAACCCCGGGGACCTTGGGTTCCAGACAGGCCGGAGCCCCCGCCCATCCTCCCCGCCATTACCAGGAAAATACGAGCGGTTTTTAGGCCCCGGGCCCGCGCGGAAAACGCACCCAGGAGCCCCCAGCCCTCTGCGCTGCGGGCGCATGGAGGCGCCGCAGGTTCCGGTGCAACTCTGCGCAAGGTGGGCTGCAGGCCCCGGCTGCTGCGGCCGCGCGTATGCCGAGCCTTAGGCCCCAGAGGCCGCCTTCCCGCGTCTGGCTCGGTGCAGGCCGAGCTGCCGGTTTTCCGTGGAGAAGCGAGTGGCCGGCGCCCACCGCTGCAGCCGGCGCCGGCTCTCGGTCGCCGCTCAAGGGGAGGCCCCGAGACAAAGGCGCCTCGGCCGCTGAGGGATGACGCGGACGCCTGGGCCGCGCGCTCCCCGACCCACGCCTGTAGCTCTCGGTGCCCTGGCCCGGGAGAGAGGGCTCTGCGGCCTCGGTCCAACTCCCCGCCCACCCGGCCCCGGCCCCGGGACGCTCCAGGGGAAAGGAGCCCGGCACACCCCACAGCCTCGGCTGATCCGCGTAGCTCCCGGCCCGAGAGCGCCGGCAGCGCCGGTCGCCGCCCGAGGGCCGCCGGGGCCCCGCGAAGGAGGGGATGACCCCTGCTGGCCGGAGCCGTGGAGGCGGCCGAGACCCAGACCCGCCTGGGCGCTCGGCCCTGAGCACCCCGGGCCTGGGGGACGCCCCATGAGTTCTTGGGAGCCCTCGAAGAACAGCCTGAGTCCGAGGCGCTGCCGGGCTGCAGGAACGGGCCTTTCTCCTCAGTGCCCTCCCTGTGCCGGGTACGCGGCATCCCCGCAGCGGCGGCCGCCCTCCCGCCGGGCTGCCCACCGCAAGCGGCTCTGCCCCGGAGGCTCCTAAAGCCTGCGCTGCCCGAAGGAGCGTGGCACAGGAGCCGAGAAGCTGGGCTGAACGAGACCAGACACAGCCGGACCTTTAGTCAGCGTGACCCAGCCGGTTGCCCGTGGGTGATTTCTCCTGGCCTAGCCGGAGCCACTTCCTGGGGACTCAGAAACCAGCCTTGCAGTTGTCAGTTTCCCGGACCCGGAGTGAAGAACTTCCTTCAAGGCTAGGTCTGCGCGGATGGAACTCACCTGCAGTTCTCGCCAAGAAAGCTCCCCGTGAAAGACGCTGGTCCACATGCAGAGCATGGCAAAGATGGTCCATAAAATGCACACTCGGCCATACTGCTGACATAACCAATATAGGGAAACAGTCTAAAATGCACAGATATCTATATTACACATACATTCTGGACATGGAAAATACACTTCTCTAGAAAATATGCACACAGAGGCACTTTTATCTATTGTATGGGAAGCAACCTCCTGAGAAAAGATTACATACAGCATGAATATCCACCACACGTAAAAGTAAAAATTTATTTACATATATAAACAGTACACTGGCACATGTCTACACAGTGAATGTACAGTCCTGCGTCTATTTAGCTACATGGGTGTATACATTCCATAGGACATATAAAATCAGTGCATGGAAAATGCATCCAGATATCAATATATCCACATTAAACATTACATGGAAAATACATCATATTATTACATATATACAAAATGCATATCTACCCAGTGTATGAAAAATATCTTCCTTAAATTACGTTTGCATATGTGGTGTGCATGTCCCAAACACACTGAAGTACATTCTTTGGGTTCACATATTATGGCACTTGTAATACACATTTCTCTGGAGATCTTAAAAACAGTAGCAGGAGGAAGCTCAGGCACTGGCATGACAATCTCCATCGGCTGAGCCTCTTTTCTGTTCTTCTGTGTTTCTGTCTTTTAAAAACTCCTTCTGCGTCTACATGGATTGTTTTCATAAGTGGTCCCCCATCTCTATTTCCCTATTGTATCTCTTGTCTGAAGTCAGAGTCTACATTTAGAGCGCTAAGTCCCATTTGCAGCAGGGTCTGACTGCATAATCACGCCTATATAGAATTAGCATTATATAATTAGGTTACCCCCCCCCCAACCCTGTGTCTCAGGACATGTTCTTCTAGACCTAATATAAATATATTATAGAGTTGCTCTGGGCTGCCAGTTAGGAAAGGAGACAAGGGGGGAGCGCTGCGGCCCAGTGAGGTGTGAACCCTGCAGGTTGAGGTAACAGGCAGGTTCTGGGTTTGTGCTGAGCACTCAAGGGCTCCTGGAAGCTAAGGTTTGTCTAAATTTTTTAAAATTTATTTTTAAATCTCGAGTCTAGGGAGCAGCGTGACGCAAAGGCTGGACCTCCTCTCTAGTGCCCCTCTCAAATCCCAGAGCAGCCCCACTCCGTCCCAGCCAGCCAGGGAGAAGATTCTGCCCCACCCAGCCCCCTGCTCTAAGGCCCATCCTTAAACTCAGCCAGGTCTACACAAGCAGCAGGGAAAGGTTATCCCATAATCCACGCTATTCTCAACAAAACCCGTTCCCAATGCCTTTCGAGAGGCAGTAAAGCATTTTCTGGCACCGAGCGAACTCTGTCTTGGCCCCCTAAAAATTAGTCCCACTTAGCTCTTTCTTCAGCAGCTGAAAATGCGGGACTACCTGACACAAGCCTATGGAAAAATCTTTTGAGAGACAGTGCACTTACACCGAGCAGAGATAATGTTTATGAGTAGTTGGGTTCCGTGTAGACGCGGCCATATTTTACTGTTCAAAGGAATCAATTAATTACTGCCTCGCCAGTCCCCCCAGCCTGCCGCTGCTTGGCTAAGTGTGAGCGGCTGAGATAGATGTGCGTGGCCAGCTCGCTGGTCTTGTTAACAAGCCTCGTCATAAAGATGGAGATGATAAGGAGAGAGGGGAAGCCCTGGCGGCCGCGAGGGGGGGCCTCGAGGGCCCAGCCCAGCAGTCTGTGGGGCAGCGGCTGACTGAGCCGAGGAAGTGGGTGCGCCCCGGTGCCCGCTCGGGTTCATCCAGCGTTCTCCCCTTCTGGGGCGTTCGTGCTGGATAATTCCCTCTCCTCTCCCCTTCTCTGAATTTTCCCTTTTCTTCGTTGAGTCCTAAATTTTGAAGAAC